ATATCAAGTCACTCATGGCAGAGTGTTGGCAGGGGAAAAAGAAGGATTGTTGGAAGGGGTTATGGCTTCCCCTTGCTTTCCCTCAGCTCTTTGTAGAGAGCACTTTGGTTTCCACTTGGCACAGGAAGTGGTGGTGACCAGAGCTGAGAACCCAGCTACCATTTTGTCCTCTTTTGTCTCCCTGGCTAGCTAGCCTGACTTCTCCAATCCTGTGCCTCGTTCTTCACGAGACTTTCCCCAGTGCCTTTCAAAATGCACAGCCTTCTGAGGGATGTGGTGCCCAAAGAGAGGATGAGATTCATGCCTATGGTCACACCTCTTTAAATACTTTGGCTACTCACTTGATATTAAGGAAATGTAGAGAGCTGGGCGAACTTTCTCAGGTGAATAGGTTTAGCAGATGGTATGTGAAACATCTCATGCTACCATTTATGCTGGGATTTTTCAATAAAGGACCTTACGGTGCCAGCAGTATTGTGTGATGACCAACTTTGATAGACTTAGCTCTTGTCAGCAAGACTCACGATGAAAAATGTTGAAACTGTGAAGTCTAAATGCAGATTGAAGCATACTGTTTTTTCTTTTTGTTTTGTGTTTTCTTTTCTCGTGATTTCTCCCTTTTGTTCTGATTCTTCTTTCACAACATGACTAATGTAGAGATATGTTTAATACGATTGTACGCGTATAGCCTATGTCAAATTGCATGCTGTCTTGGGGAGGGGGGTGGAGAAGGAGGGAGAACAATATGGAATTCAAAATCTTATAAAAGTGAATGTTGAAAACTGAAACTAAATAAATTTTAAAAAATAAACAATTGAACATTTAATTTAAAAAAGTCATTACACTGAGTTGATCAAAAAGCATTTTGCAATCCCCTCTCATGAGCCTGATACCATGATGGATGCTAGCAATACAACCAAAAAATTGTGCCAGACCCCACTCATCAAGGAGACTGCATTCTATTAATGATAAAAACTCAGTTCTCCATACCGTGTGCCGCATGAAAACTTACTATGTACTATCGCCCTGCAGTTTGTGCCTCCTGCAGAGACAAAGCTCCAGGACCCCAGACATTAGACTGACATTAGATGGGTTTGCTAAATTAAATAAAGATTGCAAGAGTTGCCTTAAGAAAGAGTCCAAGATTCATTCATTGGTATCTCTCCTTTTGGCGTTAGTGTTCCCAGCAGAGCAGGCAGCTTTCCTTCCTCATGCCATCATCATCCCAACCCAACAGGACCAATCCTTTCAGCTTTGTTCAAGCTGGATCTCATCTTGCTGCCAGCCGGCCACCCACCAAGAGAGAAGATGCATATTGGGCTATGCCTCCACTGAGGCACTGGAATTTGTCTGTGTTGTGTTTGTAATGCACACACTGCTAAGCTATTAATCGTGCCACAGACTAACCTGCACAGTGCTGCTGGAATAATGAATTGCCCGTCTTCTGCCCAAGATGAGTCACACCATGGCCACTAAAGAAACTTATCTCTCCCTGACTCATTCTCCATCTTGTTCTTCCCTCATGCCTTTCTCTTCTCCCAGGAGCCATCTTGCCACTCCTAATTGGAGCGTTTTCTCCCATATTTAAGTTCCAAAGTATCTCTGGGATTCACTAATGGATCCAAAGGCTTAAACAAGACATGTCAAGGGCGTTTCCTGCCTCCTAGTGCAGGCAGATGAGCATAGTTTGCAGATGACTTTGGGTGTATGGCCAGGAATATCAATGCTGCTTTTGAAAAATGAGATAATCTCAGGGAAAATGATCCTAACCATGATAGAAAATGGAGTTCTCAAAGAAACCACAGCATCTGCATACATCCAGGTGGTTGTGCAAATGCCGTGCAGTCAATCAGAAAGATTTCCCCTTTGGTTTGAAGGGGAGAGAAGTGTGTTGTGTGCCTGGCAGTGTGCTGGTACTAAGCATACAAAGAGAGCAACGAAACAGTCGCTGCCTCCAAGGGGCTTACATTCTACTGGAAGCAGACAACACACACACACACACACACACACACACACACACACACACATATATCCATATATATATATATATATATATAAGAAAATTTAGAGTCATGAATCACAGTGGGTCCTATATTACAAAGAGATTAAAGAAAGAGATAAAGGGCCTAACTGTAAAAAAAAATATTTAAAGCCACAATTTTTTTTTTGGTGGCAAAGAACTAGAAACTAAGACATTACCCATCATTTGATGAACAGCTAAATATATTATAATATGTAAATGTAATGAATATGATTTTGCCATTAAATGAAGAAAGAGATAGTTTCAGAAAAACCTGGGAATACTTGTAGGGGCTGATGCAGATTGAAGTTAACAGAGTGAGATCTCTTTCCACAGTGACAATAACATTTTAAAGACAAACAGCTCTGAAAGATTTGAGAATCTTGTCAATGCAAAAACCAACCACAGGTCTAGAGGACTAATGACAAAGCAGCTCCTTGCCTACCTCTCATCAGAGAGGTCTTAGACTCTGTGGTGCAGGAGGAGTTATCCATTTGGGGGCACACCCAATGTGGGAATTTACTTTGCTTGACCATGCATATTTTTGACTAGGAGCAGGCAGCAGTGAGGAGAGAAAATAAATACTTACTAATTGAAAACTATTTTTAACTTTTTAAAAGTTAATGCAAAGTATTTTCTGGAAGGAAGGCTCTAACAAAAAGGGGAACGGGTCAGGAAAGATCTCATATAGGAGGTGACTCAAGCTGAGCTTGGGATTCTAAGGTGGGCAGGTATGGAGGGAGTGTGTTTGAGGAGTGGGCAAAGACACTGAGACAGGAGGTGGAATCGTGTGTGTGAGGAACAGGAAAAAGTCCCCTTTGACCAGACTACAGAGTGAGTGAAGGGGAAAAATGAATAACATATTTGGAAAAGCAAGCTCTCAAAGCAAGCTTCAAATGTCAGATTATGGGAGGGCGGTGGAGGGGGGTGTTCTAGAGACAATAGGACACCTTTGGAACTTTTTGAGTAGTGGAAAATTATGGAGTGTCCTATGTTTTAGGAATATCACTTCAGCAGCTGTTATATAGGCAAGATTAGAGAGGGGGGAATTATGGGACCCCTAACTGGAGGAGAAAAATCAAAATACTGTGTCATTTCTTCCCTTTTCGGCTCTTCTCCCTCATATGTTTGCCCTCCCAAACACCCCAGAACCTGACCTGGGGCACTTACTGCTTTGTACTAACCAGTTACTTACAAAGGTTTAACATTCTACTTGGTATATTGTGCTCAAAACCAGAAAGTCCTGCCGGGAAATTGACAGCAACTGCATGTGGCCTCTTGGTGGTATCGGACTAGTCATCAACTTTGATAATGAGTCCCTCTTTCACAGAACAAGAACTTCTGGTTTCTGGTGACAATGGAAGCCTGCTTTTGGAGAAGCAGAGATAATGAGTAACAGCAAGTAGGATCCAGAACCTTTGACCTCTTAATCACCATGTCTGGAACCATTCTAGCTAAATAGCTGATAGGATTTGATGACTGTTAATTGGTGGCTTGGTAGCGTCAGCATTTTATATCTCCGATTCCTGATCAATCAGTCCATCAATCAATACATTTCTATTAAGTATTGGCTATATACCAGCTTGGACTGCGCTTTATGCTGGGAATACACATACCACCTTCCCTAGGAAATCAAATAATGCCTTCCCTCAAGGAGCTTCCATTTTATCAAGGGAGATAGAAATATATGAAGTATATACAGAATAAATACATAGATACGAGATAAATAGTGGGGATGGTGCTAGCTTCTGGAAGGATTGGGAAAGGCATTGTGTAGAATGGATCAGAGAGTTGAGCTTTGGAAGACATTATGGATGCTTATTGTTTCTTGCACCTCCAAATAAAGCCCCAATAATTCACAAGGATGCTCTGTATGTGTGTGGATACATCTATACCTCAGTATTTCAAGTTCATTTCAGTAGCCATTAAGGTCATCCAGGTACATGTTGGAATTAGAAGGTACATTTCTACGTGTTTGAAATATAAAGACAAAAATGAGGTACTCAGGGAATAAAGGAAAGGTGTTTACAAGACAAAGAGCAGTAGCTTGAGGGAAAGGAGAATCCAGAATGCAGGACAGAGGCAGAAATATTTGAGGAATGGCAGGAAGGCCAATCTGTCTTGAACATGGAGTTTGTAGAAGGGAGTAAAGGGCAACTAGCCTAGAGAGGTGTTCTGGAGTCAGATTTTGAAAGCTTTTTCAATGTCAGAGAGAGGGCTTTGGACAGAGTGTCTCAGAAGTCTTAGTGTAGTTTTAAGTTATTGGAGTTTAAAACTGCATTGAGACTTTTAGATGACCCTGTAGTAGTCCTAGAGACAACAGAAAGCCACTGGAGTCCTTGGAAAAATAGATAATAACAAAATGCTGCCATTAATTTAGTGAAACTTTTAAATACCTGTGTTTTGTTAGTCACAGTAGCTTCTATGTACTTAGGAAACCAGAAATCTGTCTGTGTGCAAGGAGTACTCCTTATTCAGTCTGCAGAGTCCTCGACACACTAAAAGAGATGCAAGGGTGTAGGCTCAGTAGGTTTGTCCTAAAAGTTTGTGGAATTGAGTTGCATATTTATTGGACCAGATTTAGTTCTGGCAGAGACCTCCTAGACAACCTAGTTTGACTTCCTCATTTTACAGGTTAGGAACTGGGCCCAGGTCTTGGCCAGAGTCCTACAGGTTACAAGGGACAGAACTAAGATTTGAACCCAGGCTGTCTATCTTCTCACTATGCTGTGTTGTCAGATTTGCATGTAGATTTGGAGAATCCTTGATCTAACTCTCTGTCCCGTACCAGGATCCTCACCCTGTGCTTCCCCAAGTTGGGAGACTCATTAGTTGAGGAAAAAAGGGAAATTGGTTTTGGTAAGAAAGCTGAAGACCCTTAAATGGCCCTAGAAGCCAAGCACTGAAACAGTGACAAGGGTTAACAAAACTCCCGATTGGATTAATTTATGCCCATGTTTGTTTCTTCCCTCTCTTACAGAGTGACTTGTGGTCTTTGGGAATCACAGCCATTGAAATGGCAGAAGGTGCCCCCCGTAAGTAAGGAAGTCTCAGCTGGGCAGGGTGGGGGGCAGAGGGGGAAGGGGAGCATCTGTGACTAAGCTAATGATGGAAGGCTGCCAAGAGCTGCAATGGGCATTTCTTCTGGTACAGTGAACTGTGTGTGGGATCAAGCTGGTGTGTTGGGATTGCAAAATTAAGGTTATATCCAGCAGAAGCTTGTTCATTACTGGCTGGTATGAAGATTTCTTTCTTCAGCAGAGAGAGGCAGAGGCAGAGACTCATGGAAACACCGACAGACGCAGAGGGGCTGGTGGTGACAGAGAATCAGGCAAAATCCAACGGAGGCAAAAAGAGAGACAGAGAGATTTATGGAAACAATGTTAGAATCACAGACAGACACTGGACAGAGTAGTGGAGACAGCGATAAGAGTCACAGACAAGACAAGCCACGGAGACACAGGGACTGATGGAGATGGTGATGAAAACATCAAAGGGGCTGGTGGTGACAAAGGAGCAGACAGAAAACAACAAAGGTCAAAAGAGAGATGGAGAGAGATGTAAGGACAGAGAGAGGTGGTGAGAGAGTGACAGATAAGCACAGTGATGGAGACATAGACAGGTGAAGTATTGGAGACACAGAGGGACAGGCAGATTGGTGGAGAGAGACAGAGAGATGTAAGCACAGGCAAAGGTGTGGGGGAGGGAGATAGGGAGGGAGAGAGACCAAGATAGGTAGAGAGACAAAGACACAGAGAGGAAGAGACTGATGGAGACATAAAGACATAGAGGCACAACCAGAAACCAGTGGAGGTCCAGAGAGAGAAAAAGAGAAAGACTGATAGAGACAATGATGGAGAGTGATGGAGACATAGATTAATGGAGACACAAAGAGAGGGAGATAGAACCTGATGGAGACAAAGAAAAGGAGACCTAAACTGATGAGAGTGAGCGAGACACTTATGGAGTGATGAAAACACAAGAAGGAGATAGAAATTGATGGCAACAAAGTGCAGGACTGACTGATGGAGACAGAGGTGAAGTCTTTGGGAAGCAAAGAGATGGAGACAAAAGTGTACAGACTGGTTAAGGCAAAGAGAGGCAGAGACCGACGGAGAAAACAAGACCAATAAAAACCAAAAATGGCAACAAGGAAGACTTACAGAGCCAGAGACATGGTGACAGAGACAGAGACAGAAAAATATGGAAAAAGAGAGAGAACAAAGGAAAATAAAATGCCAGGACACCAGTTCTCTGCAGAAATGTAACCTGTGAGTGATTCTTGAGCCACCTTCTGCCCAAAAGAAGTACCTTTAAACACACAACATGGACCACACAACGACAACGCTAACTTACAACTCAAGCCAATATAAAAGGTGGACTTGAAGGCAGGTCTCGACCCCTCGAGCCTCCTTGTTTCCGTCTGTCTCAGATATTTATTTTGAGATTCCCCACTTGTGGTAGAGTCAAAGGGGCAGCTTCACAGTTGGTGGGAGACTTTTCCTTCATCAGGACCTCTGGTGTTTGTGCTACAAACTGTAGCAAATTCTCTTCTTTCTCTCCTTAAAACAAATAGAGAGAATTGGCTGTCTCTCACATCAGACTGTTTATTAAAGTCATTCTGGTTTGGGTTTTTACTCCAAAGCTGTTGTTGTCTCATCTTCATCTAGAGCTGATAGACCCAATTGGTTGCAGAGTTGACTCTGCCATTCACTGCTCATTACTTAGAAATGACCAGTCCATATATTATTGGCCAAGCTATAATCAATATGAGTACTACACAATGGATATAATATTTATAGGGTCTATAATGACAATTGTCGTTCAGTCATTTCAGTCATATCTGACTCTTTGTGATTTCATCTGGCATTTTTTTTGGCAAAGATGCTGGTTTGCCATTTCCTTCTCCAGCTCATTTTACAAATGAGAAACTGAGGCAAACAGGGTTAAGTGACTTGCCCAGGGTCGCATAGCAAGTATCAGAGGCCAGATTTGAACTTGGGAAGATGAGTCTTCCTGACTCCAGGCCCAGCATTCCATGCACTATGGCGCCCCCTAGTGCCCTATAATGCCAAAGTCATCAATAAATTACAAAATCCTACACCATGTAGCTAACACCCAAGCCTTAGCGTCATTCTTGATAAGAAGGTATATTGGACTAAAGGAAAACTTTTGCCTATAGATTCTTGTCACTTCTAGGAAAAAACGTCCATGTTCCTGAGGCATAAAAAGAAAAATTTGAATAATCACAGAATTTTAGGGCTGGAAGGAACCTCAATGGCTCTCCCTGGGTAATTTAATCTGTATCCAAAATGATAGGGGATCACCCAATCTCTGCTTGATTACTAGATGATTTTTTAGGAGGAGCAGTGACTTTGGAACCACGTGACCATGGGAAGTCAGAGGACCTCAGTTCAAATCCCACTGCTGTCAGTTTCTACCTCTTTAACAGATGTCCCCTGTTTGAGCCTATTTCCTGTTGTATAAAATGAAGGAATTGACTTAAATGTTTTCTAATATCCTTTCCATCTCAAAACTATTATGACACTAAATGAGTTTGGGAGGATGGGATAACCAACCTGAGTAAAAATAATTTCACTGGAAACTACAGTTTCATATTTAAGAATTAATCTATTTCTACAGCTCCGCCCTTCAGCTATCATCCTTAATTTGCCATGCTTTGGGGGCCTTTCTGGATCCCAGTTGAGCCTTAAGTTTCAAGTCACGAAATTTTCAGAATGACCATTTAGACCTTGCCTGGCATGGCTCCAATTGCAATAATGCCCTCCAAAGCAGCATTCCACCATTTTCATTCTAATGCTGTGCCACCCCTCCCACCAAAGCCCACGTAGATGACAGCGTATGTGGATACACCTCAGAGTCCTGAAATTGCAGCCCACATCCCACTGACCTTCCCATCCTCATGAAGAGGCTTCCAATGTGGAACAACCCAACAACAATTTAATCCAACAAACCAAGCGTGCGTTAATCACCTACTACATGGAAGGCCCATAAGTCCAAACATTGTCTATGAATTGTCGTTTCTCTTGAGATTGGATTACCAAATGGAAATATGGATTAAATAATAGAGATTGGATTAATAAATGGAAATATGGCCTTGAATTTAAGCAAGAACATCATCATGATAATATTAATGGGGGATATTTGTATGGCACTTTAAAATCTGCAGAGCACGTTGTGGAAATTATCTCATTTGAGACACTGTAAGAGGTAGCACTGTATGGTAGCTAGACAGCCAATCTTGACATCAGGAAGATCTGGATTCAAGTCCTGCCTTGGCTTTGTGACTCTGGGTAAGTCACTTGATCTCCATTTTTCCAAGCAACTTTCTAAGACTATAAACTGCAGAGTAGGTTCCTGTCTTCAACTGGTAGAGGACATTTCCTATATGAATGAAATCGGAGATCTAGTCTGAAAAACCGCCGGTATCTTGTGAGTAGAAGTCTAGAGGTATTTGTTTTCCATTTTGGTTGGTTAGTTGTTGTCCATTTCTGAAGAGGACCAAAATGACATCACAGATGAGAAAATGGAGGCTTAGTGAGAGCTGTATGACTTGCCTAGAGGTCATGGAGCTAGGTTTAGAGGTTAGAACTTGAATCACCGTGGTCCTGAATTAATTCAACTCAACAAACGTTGAGCATTTTCTATGTGCCAAGTTTTAGGGAAGCAAAGAGAAAACAAAAAACAGATTTTCCCCTCAGGAAGCTTATGTTCTATCAAGGGGCTATAACACGTACACAGATAAGTAAATCCAATATGTCACCTGGCCCTGTCATTGTGGGAGGGAGGGATTTGGGGGTCACTTGGACCCTACTGATGTTCCATAAGAATGAAACAGTGACCCTACAAATGCTGAGAGTCTGATGCATTTTCCAACAAGATTCATGCTGTTATTCAGTGACCAATGGAGCCCCCATCTCTGCTGTATCTCTCAGTTTGGCTGCAGCTTAGGCTGGAGGCTCAGTGGTTGCTCATAACAGACAGTGGCCAGACAGAACCCAGCTTCTTTAAACGGGAGTTTTGAGGAGAATGACAAACAGTAAATATCCATATGGGATGGTAATTTTTAAATGTTACCTATTCAAAACCTCCTTGCATTTAATGCAAACTGTTATTTTCAACTTTTACCATGTCACAGAGAGGATATCAGGATTGCACTTGTAGTCAGAAACACTCAGGGCTCAACTCCCATCCCCTATATTTCCTAACTATGTGACCTTGGGCAAGTCAACCTCTATGGACCTCAGTTTCTTTCCTTCATAAAGTATGGCTAATAATGTCTATATTACCTACCTCTCATGTTTTTTGAGGCTCAGATGAAATGAGGCACATAAAGAACTTTGAAAATTTAAAAGATTTATGTGAATGTTGGTTATTGTTTTTAATTCTTCCTGAATGGGAACTCATTTATGCTTTCCACCTTGGGTCATCTGGTTGTCTTTTGGCCAGTAGCATCATTTGGGCAGAAAGGAAGAAAGAAAGCACACGTTCATTATGTGTGTACTATGTGCCAGGCACTGTGCTAAGGACTTCATAAATATTATCCCATTTGATCCACACAACAACTCTGGAGAGTAGGTAAAATTATTACCCTCATTTTATAGTTGAGGAAACTGAGGCATACAGGTCAAATCATTTGCCCAGGGTCCCACAGCTACTCAGTGCCTGAGAAAGAGCCTTATACCAATGGTAACCACAGAAGAAATGTGTTTGTTTATCTGTCACTAGTTCTGAGGGTCTCTTCTTGCATATCTAAACCATAGGATACTCAAGCTGACCTTTTGCCTCCCAATGTGACTAATGCCTTTCGTTGTCTCTTTCAGCTCTTTGTGACATGCATCCCATGAGAGCTCTGTTCTTAATTCCCCGGAACCCTGCCCCGCGGCTGAAGTCTAAGAAATGGTGAGTCTGATTCTCCCATACTTAGGCAGACACCTGAAGGGCTTGTCCCCATGTGATCCTTACAAACTAATTCGGAACCATGTGTCTGCAGGTCATGATAATGTCCCTGGACTGACTTTCCCCAGATGACTCCCTCTGATCATTCATTTGTTCTAGAACATTGGTTCAACTGATATGTTTTCAATACCTACTATAACAACAAAATTAATACTGATTGGTAACATTGATGTAGCTCTTCAAAGTTTGAGAAGTGCTATATGTGTGTATGTATATGTAGATATATGTGTGCACGTGTATAAATAATCTTATAAGGTAAGTGCTATTATTATCCTTAACCAATCAGTTAGTAAGCATTTTAAGCTCTTACTATAATATTTATAAAGTGCTTAGCACAGTGCCTGGCACATAGCAGGCTAGATACTTTATCCAGTGCTGGGGATACAAATATAGACAAAAGGAAAGATAGGTGCTGGTTGCAAGAAGCTTATAGTCTAATGTCTGGAGACAATACATAAAAGGGTACAAGGCTTGGAGAAGGCAAGATACCTTTAGAGAGATGGGCATGAAGTTCAGAGAGTGAGAAATGGAGTCAAGGGAGAGATGAAGGAGAATGCCCATGGGCGCTTCCTCAGCTACGTTCCAGGAGGAGTCACCCAGTGGGAGAAGGGACACTCAGGGCTGGAGGGATGCTCCAGGATGAGAGGCAGCTGAGGCAAAGGAGCAAAATCCAGAGAGTCGGAAACAGAGCCGAGAGGAATAGGATTTTATAAATGAGGGAACTGAGAGAGATTAAGTGGCTGCCCAAAGCAAGCCTGGACCCCTCGGACCCTTTTGCTTTTGTCTATTCCAGAAGTGGGGAACCTGCAGTTTGGAGGCCACATGTGACCCTCTAGATCCTCAAGTGCGGCCCTTTGACTGAATCCAAACTTCATAGAGCAAATCCTCTTAATAAAGGATTTGTTCTGTAAAAGTTAGACTCAGTTAAAAGGTCGCACCCGAGGACCTAGAAGGCAACATGTGGCCTCAAGGCTTTGGGTTCCCTACCCCTGCTCTACACCTTCAGCTGTTAATGTCACTCAAATGCGACTACTGGACAATGTTGGCAAAATGAATCCTGAACTTGTGAAAAATGTTAGCGCATCAGTTGGTCAGTGGACAAAGCATTTGTTGAGTGCTTTTGTGCCAAGCAGCGTGCTAGACGTTGGGATATAGTTACAAAGAATGAATGGTCCCTGTTTAAAAAGAGCTTATGTGTAGAGTAGGCAGCATGGCACAGAGAACAGGGGGCAAGACTTGAAAACAGGAAGACCCAGGGCCTCGCAGGCATACAAGCGCTGTGCCTCTAGACAAGGTTCTGACCCACTCACTGCCCTGTGGTTAAGCAGGGCTTCTTAACCTGGAGTCCAAAGCCCCGACGAGGTCTAAGGATAGATTTCATGGAGTCTATCAACTTGGAAAGGAAAAAAAATTAAATGTTTATTTCCATATAGTTGGTTTTCTGTGTAAGCCTATGATTTTTTTTTTAATTTTACACATTTAAATACCTTCTTTTGAGAGGAGTTCCATAGGCTTTGCCAGATTGGCAAAGGGGGTCCATGACACAAAATACAATTAAGTATCCCTGATCTGTAACTTTCAGACAATAGTAACTGTTCACATTTCCAAAGCCCTTTGAGGTTTGCAAAGCGCTTTACATATATTTTCTCATTTGATACTCACAACAAGCCTGCGAAGTAGGTGCTACTATTACGTCTATTGTATGATTTCTACTGTGCATTTACAAATGAGGAAACTGAGGCTGAGAATGGGTAAATGACTTGCCCAGAGTCACACAGCTAGGAAGCATCTTTTGAACCTGGCTCTTCTTGATGCCAAGTTCAGCGTTCTGTCCATTATACTTACCACACTGCCTCAAATTTGCCAGGCTATATCTTTTGAGGGAGTTTTCCCACCAGGAGTGGCGTATACCCTACGAATCCACAAATCTGGATGAAAAACAAACAAAACAAAATAACATCTACTACCAAAGCCCCAGCCTCTCACTCTGCAACTTCTCTTCAGTCATTAAACTTCTCTGGACTTTAATCTCATCATTTATAAGATGTGGGGGGTGGGAGGAAAGGGACAAGATTATATCTAAGGTCTCAACGTTCTGTATAAACATTTAGTTAACACTCTCCACACACTGGGATTCTGTCTAAGCTGCTTAACTGTGCTCAACCAATCCATGGCATGTCATCCAAGGCATGACTAATTTCCCAGCTTCATAGGATCACCACTGGTATTATTTCTTAATGTAAATCAAGCCTTACTATCACTCAAAAGGTAAATAACCTATATCGAATTGCTTACCTTCTCATTGAGGAAGAGGGGAGAATTTGGAACTCAATTTGTTTAAATGTTAAAAATTATTTTTACATGTAATTGGGAAAAAAGAATCATTCAAAAGGATGCTTTGTAGTTAGTAGAAAGAATATTGGAGTCCAAGGACCTGAGTTTGAATCTTGCTTTTCTCACTACCTTTGTGACCTTGGTCAAGTCAGCTTCTCTGGGCCCCATCTAGAAGATGAGGAGGTTGGAATATAGGGCCCCCAAAATCCATTCCAGACCTACCTGTCCACCATGGTGACAATAAACATTTATTAAGTGCCTACTATGTGCCAGGCATTGTACCAGCTCTGGGGATACAAAGACAAATGAGCCCCAGGCCTCAAGAAATGTATCTATGTAGTTGTTGAGTCACTTCAGTGGTGTCCACATTGGGGGTTTTCTTGGAAAAGATACTGGAGTGGTTTGCCATTTCCTTCTTCGGCTTATTTTATAGATGGGGAAACTGAGGCAGGCAGGGTTAAGTGACTTGCCCTGGTTCACACAGTTAGAAAGTGTCTGAGACTGGATTTGAACTTAGGAAGATAAGTCTTTGTGATTCCAAGGCCAGAACTTTGTGCACCACCTGTCTGCCCAAATGTGTAATAGGCACTTAATAAATACCTCTTGCTTGATTGATTGGTTGATTCTGGTGGGAGGATATAAAATATAGACAGAGATGAGTAAATATCAAGTACGTACAAAATAATTTCAAGGGAGATACAGTGTAAAGACTGGGAGATCTGGAAGGCTCCTTGTGCTCTGAAGGAAGATAGGGATTTTCTCAGGCAGAAGTGAGGAAAGAATGCATTCCAGCTATGGGGCACACCCTGAGCTAAGGCATAGAGAAGGAATGTCATGTACAGGGAACCAGAAGCAAATCATTGTAACTGGACTAATAGTGCAGGAAGGGAGGTGATGTGATTATAGGATCATGGACGCTGAGCTGGAAGGGCCCCTGAAAGCCAACTTGTCCAATCATCTAATTCTGCTGAAGCCCAGAAAGGTTAAGTGACTCATCTCATATCCCACGGGTAAGTAAACTCTCAGAGGCAAGATATGAACTCAGGTTCTGTGAGTACAGAAGTGAAATACGACTCGAAAGAAGAAAGGGTAGGCAGACAGAGTATGGAAGGTTAGGGAAGGACAAGCTAAGGGTTTTTTTTTTTTTTAATTTCATCCTAGAAGCAATAGGGAGCCACTGAAAATTTTCGAGTAGGAGAGTAGCAGATTTTTCAGAGTTCTGCAAGGTCTAGAGAGGTACACTCTCTAGGCACCATGGTAGATCTTGAAAACACAGAGAAAGAGTTGAGATGGAAGACCCACAAGGCAGAGGAGGTCTGCCCAGTCTTCCACGCCAGACAGTATCACTGACACTTCCAGCAGATAGTTCTTTGGAAACAGCATGCCTTGAATCTTTGTTGTAATCATTCCATCCCTACAGAAGCTTGTGATGTCCAGCTTGAGAAACTAAATTCCAGGAAATCAGGCTGACTTTTCATCTTTGCAATTTTGAAAGAAAAAATAAAACAAGGTTCACATCACTTAGGCGAGATGCAGTTCAAAAGTTGGCTTCCAACTAGAGGTAATACCGGATCTCTCCAAGCCCACTTCTGACCACACCTTTTCTTTTCCACTAGAGGAAGGTCATTTGAGATACATCTCTGAGACGGTCATTTGAGATGCACACTGGTGTGGGAAGAGAGATGAGAATGCCATGGTTTTGTGAAAGGCCAAGTGAACCAAAAAATAGCCTAATCATTTGCTATTTCACATTCAAGATTTGGCATCTATGACTGTGTAATATTATTATTGGCTCTGATCACATGACGCTTGACTTGGCTCTCTCTTCTTTGCAATAAAAGTCCAGCTTTTAAATGGAAAAAATCATTCAGGAGAAGAATAATTTATCTTGAAGAACAAAAATTGTAGTGAGTTGAATGGAGTGGGGAATTTTCTCTCAAAAAATTGAAAAAGAAAAATAGTGTGGTAGTGTTTTGAAGGAAACTAGGCCACTGAGGAAGGAAAAAAGAAAGGAAATAGAATCCCAAAGCACCACAGATGTTGTTTTGTTACTCAGTGTTCTGTACTTGTGTTTGTTAATGAGGTCAAAGTTACCTGAATCCTCTGAATGTGCACAAGCTTCAGTTGTGGTTTGGCCAGAGAAGAGCAGAGAGTTGCCGGTCCTACGTAAACTGTCTATCTGGAAAGTGGTGGGGGTGGGGGAATCAAGACCGTGCCCCCAGTATCTAAGGCTTAGGTGGAGCTTGCTGCCTACTAAAATCCCCAGATCTTTTCAGATAAACTTTTCTCTAGTCCCACTTCCTCTATCTCATCCTTAGGAAGTTGATTTGCTGAGCCCTAATATAAGACTTGACATTTCTCCCTATTAAATTTCATGTTGTCATTCACTTTAGCGCCAAGCTTGAGCATCCCAATTTCGTTCTGAATTCTGACTCTGTCTTCCAGCAGATTTACATTCCCTCTTCTTTGTGGCTTCAGCACATTTGATAAACACGTTGACAGCATTTTCCAGTTGATTGGCTAAAAGTCTATTGGAAGGCTGGGCTGGCAGATTCACCCAGAACCTCAGGATCTAACCATACTCGGTCATCCTATTTAAGACACAGAGA